GTCCTCTGTCTGGGCAGCGAAAACTTTGCTGATATGTGACTCGGTCGAAGTGACTTTTTTTGCCCCCCCCCCTGTATATGACCGCTCCGACCTGCCTCTGTCTGACGTTGAACCGGAGTTTCTGAAGTCAGGGCCTATCGCCGTGGTGTCGAAATTTGCTACTCTAAAAGACGACCCACCAAAAACAGCTCAAAATTCAAATTGATATCGAACACCTCCGATCAACTGTAGTGATGTGGCTAGGTCCATTACATTCGCACAGCTTCATTTGCTATTTGCTACTTGATTTGCTTTCACCGTTGGTGTCTTTTTTGCAGTTCAGGTATCCCTATAGACGAGCCCTTTCGTCACTTCCTATGCGCGGATCTGACTGAGACTCCCACTGGGCAACCGAGGAAACCCTGGGGACCCAATATCACGTGTGAGCTCCCCGAAGTCTTCTAGTTGCTTTGGCGCACAGCACACGCCGGCTGTATGAGCTGTGGACATATCGTTGTATATTTTTCACTGACTCATCTCCTTCCGAGACGGTGTGAAAAAATGCAACAATGAGGAGGACACAGCTAGAATTACGGAGGAATTCACCTATGAGGGCACAGGCGGGATTAGCTCCGAATGGCTCTACCTATACCCAACGTGGACAGCGCTTTCAGTCAAAAGTCGTCTTACAAATTAGGCCGACCAAAGCTGACAAAAAGTGTCTTTAGTCATTTCATGCCTTTTCGTGAGTAATGGAGTCAGGCCGGTTGATTTTTTACGGTTTCGATTGTAATGATTAGCGTCATCTGTGAGCCCCCCCCCCGCTCACAATCAGTAAACTCGAAAGAGAAACGGTAAGGGAATTTGAAAAAGCAGCGTACCTGTCCGATTTGATCATGCTTGCTAAACCGATCGAAATCGTAGACGGCAAACACCAACGTTTTTGCGGTAATCTCGTTAAAGGCAACCTGAATGGGCAGCTATAGGCCAAAAAATAGACAGTGAAAGCAGTAGAAAAGTTCACAGTTGTGTCAGCCATGAAAAATCAGAGAAGAAATCAAGTGAGTGATGTAAATGAACCCGTCATACAGTAGAAAATGAAGGAATCAAAGAAAACTTACTTTGAAAATAAACGTCTCGTTGAACACCGGGTTGAGGGTCTTTCGATGTACTTTTGTTTCGACTTTCTTCTTCTTTTCGGGTAACAGATAGAGTTTTACGTATGGATCGGATGTTCCGCTCATGTCCATTCCGGGTAGGTCTTCTGCTTGAATTACGGTAACAGAGAGCTGTAACAAGAATTTTTGGAAGCAGAAGGCTTCAAGTGACAACAATCTCGCCACACACCTGTCCTTGTTGGAAATCGTAGTCGAGTTTGTACTGTATTCGTCCGAGTTTCACCTCTTCTTTTTCTTCAGCCTGTGCTTTCTCGTTTTGTTCCATGTTCTCTTCTAATTCTTCCATATCTTGTTGAATCTGTATTGTGAGATGTCAATTAAAAATTGCTAATGGATTTTCTTGATCATAATTAAAATAGATTTGTTATAGGTGTAGCCCAGGTCTTTTACCTGATAGGATATTCGGGGTGACAGATCATGTACAGTCGTTATCACTGAAGTCAGTCGGGGAGTGCCTGCAACGCGGTGGTCTTGGCGCGGCACCAGCACTTCTCACATAATTGTTCGAATGCCCGAAGCCCCAACGATTGGTGGGAAACAGACTAGCGCCGCGACCGAAACCCACGACCACTAAACTTCTCACCTGACTTCATTAAAAACGACTGTCCTACTTGATGCGGAGGAAATCTGTATCGTTTTGCTGACATTGGCTCTCAACACGTCATTAACGCGCTGTGTGACGTCAGTAATATGTTACCCTCAAGATGTAATGCACTGGACCGCTTACAGTCGGTATCGTGGCAAGCAGCCGGGGCGGTCCCGAGAGAGATAGTGTAAGCCTACTCGTGGCATTTTCACCGTTTTCTTCATGAATCAGTCGCTGACCGAATTACCATTGGTAAGCAGTTGGACGCGGGATTTTTCAGCCCATCCTGACGCCGCTCCGATGGATTGCGACGTTATCATCTATACCTGTGCTGCATCTGGCGCCGTTTTAAGTCTGTTCCGAGCAAATGGGTTACAGCCAGTCCTAAAGATCCTACCGTACCACTTGCACGTGATTGAATCTGCCTAGTTCATTCTCCAAATTTTTTTCGTTTCAGCTCCGGAACATTCTTGAGAACTACTCACTGCTG